TATTTCCTCCCCCAAGGCTGAAAGATGCATGAACACTGCATGCCTTCAAACATAGTGTTTCAAGCTCCTGTATGGCATTAAAATTGCTTAAACATGATTCAGGAGTTAAACTATACACAAGGTATCTCTCAAACATGGAGACAGGCTGAAATGGATTTGAATTTGAGGACCAGTTTCCATAGAAAACCCTGGTAACACATTCCACAGCTTGCCTCCTCCCTCAGAGGGGCTCTTTTGTGCTTGCTGAAAGGCAGAGGGGTTACAGGGTTTCTTCCTTCAGGGTGTCAAGAATAATGGTCGCTGGGATGACAATGACCTCATCCTGACTCCCTCTGATTGTGCAGATTTTTTTTTTTTTTTTTGGTTTCAGCAACGAGATTTGCATCTTTGACAGTATGTGGACTCCGGGAGGAAAGAAGGGGGAGGACAAGTTGAACTCGGATGGATTATGTGCGAGTGCGATGAGGTTGGAGGAGGAGGGAGGGATGGCAGGAAGAGCTGTAAGGATCCTCAGGAGAGAAGTATTTCTCTCAACAGTCTGATTGGGCCTCCCTCCTCTTTAACGTCTGTCCTCTGTGAAATGGTCTGCGCTTGACATCGATGGGAGACGGTGCTAATGTAAAACACACATACACACAGCCGGCAGCGGGCGCAGGCTACAACAGGAAATTCCTTTACATCCTTTCTGCTGACTAAGGCCTCCGAGTGGGAACAGAGTTGGGAAGAATGTAACATATATGGTGTTTGGTTATTTGGGGTCCGCTTAGGGAAGCATATGTGCAAGCAATTACCACTGAGGCACAAGCATAAAAGAGAGGCACTCATTTTAATAACATAAGACACCATTAGAGAAATCCTTTTTTTGAACATAATCAATAGAAATTCACCTCAATAGATTAAGATGTGATGAAAAAGTTAATTTATTTCAAGTTTATACCCAAAAAGATGTTATATTTTACATGGATTTATTCAGACAGAGAAATATCAAGAGATTAGCTTGATGGTCATTTTTTAACAGTTATTAAAGACAGCAAAATTTACATTTATGGAGAGAAAATTGATGAAAATGATTTAAGTGTAGAATATGTTCATTTAATTACATGTTCTGTACATTGTGTGCTTGCTGGTGCAGGGTCTGATGTATGTCACCTTCCTCTGAGAAATAGGCTACTTCACAGGTTCTCCACAAAGTATGGAGTTTGCTATTATCAGTTACCAGGGTGGAATAATGAGAAAACCTATTGAGAAGAGCAAGGTTCTAACTTTATAAACTCATAATTATTTCTGTTTTTGATACACGGTCTAATGAATCTTAATAAAATATGTACGTTGCAACATTGATTCATTTTTAATACTTTCACAAATAATAATTTTATTTCCCAAAGAAAACTGAGAAAACTTTTTATCTGATTTACTGAATGGGTGTCTTTAAAATATATAAAATGTAAAATTTAGTCGGTGCTTAAACTAGAGTGGTGGTTATTTAATAGGGTCTAAGCTTCCAAACAAAGCACTATTATACATCATTTTAGGACTCTTTATGATGAAATTAAAAGTACTAAAAGAAAAAAATAACATTTTTTTAAATTGTTCAGCCTGGTATACTGCTTTCCCGAAGACAGGCTTAAAGGCTAGGCTTAAAACTTCCCTTTTTAATAAAGCTTATAGTTAGAGTAGCTCAGGTTATCCAGTGCTTTCTCTATAGTTATGCTGCTTTAGGCTTAGAGTGCTGGAGGACATAGAGATCCCTTTTTCATCATTCTGCCTCATTCTATCTCTATTCTCCCACTCTGCAGAATTTCTTTGTTAAATCTCTAACGCTCTGCTCTCTCTTCTTTGCGCGCTCTCTTTTTCTTATAGAAGCTCCATCTGGTGTGTTCCTGTTTTGCTGAGATACAATCCTGGAGAGAAATATAAGCTGTGCTACTGCTATCAACACCTTGGTTTATAGATGTTCAAGCTTGGCCTGTTTTTCAATGTAGTCCTGTTTCTCTTACTGTGACTGGCTCGGAGCCAGAATCGTGTGTTTCCTTGATGGGGCCGCCTGTGGAGCTGGTTTAATGTAGGTTTTTGTATCTCTGCTTCTGTCTCCTTGACCCCCGGTCGGCCTCGGCAGCTGGCCGCTCACACTGAGCCCGGTTTTGCTGGAAGTTTCTTCCTGTTAAAAGCGAGTTTTTCCTCTCCACTGTCGCTACATGCTTAGTGTGAGGGA